GTTCCTATGTTTCCGTGCATACTTTAGTCGCTTGGCCTTGTCCCCACGTCGGAGGTATGGCTTTTTGGCTGCAACTCTTCCATGAAGACTTCTCCGGACACTAGATGGGTGTACCTGGGTCCCACTGGTTTCTTCCAGTTCTGAGCTGATGGCACTACTGGACATCTTCCGATTTCAAAGGGTAATAAGCTTGATGTCTCTTTCATCTGCTGCACTAAGTTTCCTTGGCCGACCACTGCGTCTACGATCCTCAACGTTGCCCATTTCTTTGTGCTTCTTCAAAAGAGCTTGAACAGCACATCTTGAAACCCCAGTCTGCTTTGAAATATTTGTCTGGGAGAGGCCTTGTTGATGCAGTATAACTTCTTTCTGTCTTGTTGCTGTGCTCGATCTTGCCATGACATGAAACTGTCTTTCACAACCTCACCTTGGTAGCAGAGTTTGCCTATTTCTCACCCAGTTTTAAGCCTCCTACGCAGCTGTTTCTGTTTCAGTTCATGACTGGGTTTCAATCTACGTGTGACATTGATGCTCTTTAGCACCTGTTTGGTATAATTGGTTGATCGTACACCTGACTATAATCCTGCAAAATCCCTGACTTTGTGCAAGTGTACCTAGAAGAATCGCTGCTGTTTTGAGGGCAAAGCGTGGTCACACACCAAATATTGATTTGATTTAGAGTCTTCGTTTGTTCGCTCACTTTGCATTTCAAAAATTGACAAAAATAAACAATCATTATTTATATGTCTGAAAGCATTCTTTGTTCACAGCATTTTCTTCACGCCTGCCTACAACTTTGGCACAGTACTGCATATTGCAAGCTAAGCAGGGGTGGGGTGCTTCAGGTTTGCCCGGGTTCGGGTGATCCTCTAGCAAAGATTCTGTGTGGTTCTGTGAACCCCCAAATCCCACTCCTGGCTGGCACGACCCTCCGCACCCCTCCTAGGAGTCTCCACATGGCCTGTTTTGGATGCCAGGTAAATGCAGGGCCTGCGTGGAGGCTCAAGGAGGGCAAAAAAACGGGCTTCTGGAAGTTCCGGAAGGCTGAAAACGGGCCCATTTCCGGCTTCCGAAGGGCCTCCGGAACCCAGGGGAGGCCATTTTTACCCTCCTGGAGGCTCGAGAAAAGCCTCCAGAGTCCAGGGAGGACAAAAAACAGGCCTCTCAGAAGTTCCAGCCTCCAAAGCCCAGGGATGGCGAAAACGCCCCCTTCTCCCAGCCGTGATGCAAGGGGCCGACTAGGCCACGCCCATCCAGTAACCGGGCAGAGAACCCATTGCTGAAATGTTAGAAACCCATCCCTGAAGCTAAGGAAGGGCTTACCGTAAACAATGGGCTGGGTCTCCGTCGCCTGCTCTTCCTCTTTCCTCAGCGATTCTGAGGCGTCCAGCTTGTCCACCTAGGAAAACAGAAAGATCCCAAAGATCAGGAGAAACCACCCGGCTACTACTCAGCGTCCTACATTGGCTGGCAGAGAAGTGGAAAAGCCTTCAGGGGGCATGAAACACAGTCAGAGAAAGGAAATCATGGACAATTTGTTTTTTTTAAAAAATTAAAAATAAATAAATAAACCCAAGTCAGGGAAGGAAATGTCGGTAGTCTAAATGTGCCACCCGGGTTTGCAGGAGATGCCCAAGAGATTCTCCTGAAGAGCCTTCAGTGTGGAAGGGAGGGTGGGTGGGCAAGGGAGCTCTAGCTGCTGGAGGGCTTCGGGTCTACCTCGCACCTTGTGTGAAGAGATCGCCGGGAACCAATTTGGTGGACCAAATTAATGTACCAAGTTCCAGGGAATTTGCTAAAGCCATCCAATCGCCTCGCCGTATACCCCCCCTCCCCACTCTTCCCTTCAAGCTTCCCCCCACCCGCCACCCGCCGGTGTCATTTGCACAGCGTTGAGCCGAGCCAAGGTCAAGCACCAAGGGAATCAGGAAACCCAAGCACTTCAAATGTATATGAAGGCTCACTGAAAGCTTAAGCTCGCTACAAGAATCTGAACTACTAACGGGCCAAAGCAAATTGGAGGGAGATAAGAAAGAAAGGAATTCTAGGCGGGCTGGACTTAAGATCTCTCGTGGGCGGCGAAAGGACTCGAGATCGATGACGGACTTGACCCCTCCTTCGGGCTCAGCTTGGTCATTTTCTACAGCCAACCTGTTTTGCTAGCCCTCGTGAGAACCAGCTTTTTAGGACAGTGTTTCTCAACGTGAGCAACTTTTAAGATACGTGATTGGTTGGGGAAATACTAGGAATTGAAAGCCACGTATTTTAAAGTTGCTGAAGTTGTGAAACACTGCCGTAGGGTATGATGGAGCTGAGAAGCACAGGCAGGATGCTCTAAAATGAGGGTTTCTGTGATCTGTGGACTTCAACTCCCAGAATCCTTCAGTCAAAATGGCTGGCTGAGGAATTCTGGGAGTTGAAGTCTTGAAGGTTGCTAAGGTAGGACACCCCTGCTATAAAGCCACTCAGAGTCATTTAAGTGAGATGGGCCATGTAGGTAGGTAGGAATGAACGAATGCATGCATGAATGGATGGAATGAATGAATGAATGAATGAATGAATGAACAAAGCACTCCATGTGGGAGCTATCTCATGCAGAAATCCCTCTTCTAAGCACAGTGATTTTCACAACTTAAGAACAAAAAGGCTACTGAGGTATTTTAAATTTGTATTTAACAGCACGTCTCTTGTTAGACGGATGGCCAGTATGGGTTTGACGGTAGTTTTATGCATCTGGATTTAGATCTTCCCCATTTACACCACAATCAAACAATGGCCATGGGAGCCATTCCATACCACCACCACCACCCCCCAAAGAGAACATAAGGAGAAATCTAGCCACAGAGGGATCAACCCCCTTTTTGATAAACTCTCTGGAAAGTAATGTTTATCCAGCCTTTGCTTGATGGCAGAAGTTACTCCTCGACTCACAAAGCTTCATCTCCTTTCACCAATATAGCAAACTTTTTCCTTTTCCTAACCTTCCCTCCCCCACCCCCCAAAATGTGTTTTATTACGCTTAAGGTACCTACAAGCAAGCAGCATTTGAAATACAGCCTTCCCCAAATAATGGCCCCTGAAACCACAATGCGCGCACGCACACACACAAGAGAGCAGGTGGCTATGGTAGTCCTCGACGTACAACCACAACTGAGCCCAAAAGTTCTGTTGCTAAGCGAGACGTTCGTTCGATGAATGTCGCCCCATTTTACAACTTCCCTCGCCACGTTCGTTCAACGCATCAACTTCCCGTTGTACATTTAGTAACGGCGGTTGTGAAGTGAATCTGGCCCTCCCCCGTTGACTTTGCTCGTCAGAAGGGACGCTGCAACCGTCGTAAATAGGAGTCAGTCGCCAAGCGCCTGAATTTTGATTCCGTGGGGATGCCACAAAACTCGCTAAGCCTGTGAAGCGGCCTTAAGTCACTTTTTTCAGTGCCGTGGTAACTTCGGTCACTAAGAGAACCGTTGTAAGTCGAGGACTCCTGCACATCCAGCAACCCTAAGCCAGCTTTTTTATTATTATTACGATTATTATTTTCAGTTGAGATCCTTTATTCTTAAGAAAACCAAATCGTTTAGGCTGGAAAAACCTGCTACTGCGAAGAAGGAAAAGAGAAGTGGGAAAGTGTTTTTAAGGTGCTTAAGGTACAGCTCGAGATAAAAGGATAAAGCCAAAGCAGAGGAGAAATCCAGAGATCTTCCACCGCAACCAATTTGGTCCTGGGGGTTGCTGGTTTTGTTTTTTTTCTCCCGATGGCTCCAAAGAAACACCAGGGTTTTTCGTTGTTGCTTTTTTTAAAAAAATGACAATCTGGTTTAAACCGTGGAGAGGAACCGGATGCCCTGTGTTTTTTTTAAAATTATTATTATTAACGGCAAACCGTTCCTTGTAAAAGGAAGGGGGGAAAAAACAGAAAAGGCTTTTCCACAGAGACTGCAATAAGGCTGCAGAAGGGAGAAAAGGAAAAAGGAAAAAAGGGAGGAAGAAAGAGAGAGAGAGAGAAAGAGAGAGAGAGAGAGAGAGAATGAACCGCATGCGGTCAATGCTAAGAGATTTGGTGTTATATGTGCATGGGGAAAAAAGGCAAAGGAACTGAAGAAGCAAAAGGAGTGAAGTTGGAAGATGGCGGCCAGACGCCTCCCCCCCAGCCCGCCTCCCCCCCCCCAAAGTTCACGCACGCAGAAACAGCCCCCACCCCTGCTGCCCCCTCTGCTTTCCACAGCAATGCTTTGCAGCTTAGGGGAAGTGAGATGTACATCACAATGATGGCCGGACATGCTCAGTTCAGAAAAGCAAACACTGCAGTTCATGTACCTTTTTTTTCACACCACACGGGCCCTGCCTTTGACCTGCTAGCTGCTGGGGGACTTGGGCCAGGGGATAAGTTGGAGCCTGGGCCGGTTCCAGGCTTTTGGGGGGGGGGGAGCAGCAAATCATGCCTTGCCTAAGTAAGTTGCTTTTTTATTTATTTTTTTACATTTTCATTGAACGGGGGGGGCAAGAGGGGGGGTTTGTGTGCATGGCCCAATTCTCAGATGTGAAGAGGGAAGCTTGGATCGGCCCATTGGCAGAAGACAGGTGGTGAATTTGAGGGAAATGCCACTGAGCGGGGAAGAATGGCTCAGCTTTGGGAAGCGGAGGCCTTGGCTCTGGCTTAAAACGGGGGCCTGGGAGGTTTTTGGGGGTGAATGCAAGACGAATCGATGGGAAGATCCAGGCCTTCGAATCGATCAATGGAAAGACCCAGGCTTTGGAATCCACCAACGAAATCAACCAATGGGAAGACTTAGGCCTTGAAATCAATGAATGGGAAGACTTAGGTCTTGAAATCAACCAATGGGAAGACTTAGGTCTTGAAATCAACCAATGGGAAGACCTAGGTCTTGAAATCAACCAATGGGAAGACCTAGGTCTTGAAATCAACCAATGGGAAGATCTAGGCCTTGAACTCAACCAATGGGAAGAC